AAATTAATATTTATATAGATGATTTTAATTGATTAATTAATTAATTTAAAATTAATTTTTATAATTTTTTATATAAATTAATTAAAAAATTACATTACTTGAAAAGTTTAGACATGTGATATTAACATTTTGACGTCCACCATGCTCAAACACGCGTTTTCATTGTGATGGGCGAAATGACAAATTAGTCCAGCTACTATACTTGTTTTGTTAAATCATTACGTCATATTATATTTATTCATATGCAGTTAAATCAGTAATTTAAATAATTAAATTAATTAAATCGATCAAATCAATAACAAAACATTGCTTCAAAGTCATGATTTGGCGTGCTTTTTGTATCATTTGACATGGGGAGTGGGGACGTGGGATCCTCCGTGTACTTTGAATTTTTTTCTTTCTTTTTCTTTTTTTTTCAATTCCGCGACTTTGATTAATATTAGCATTGAGCCATTGACGGTCACTCTCTAACAGCGAAGTCGTATTCATTTTCTTCTTGTTTGAATGTTGTCCACAAGTGGATACTCAAACAAATAGGATTTTCTTAACGTATGCTTATAATTAATATTTTTTTCATTAATTAATATTAAAAAGTAACAAAAATTAAAATTAATTTCATCATTAACATTGCGCAAATCATTTTATTTAATGAGTTTTTTAATTTATGTTTTAAGGGCACAATTAAGAATATTTTTTAATTATAAATACATATAAAAAATATATAAATTAATATTAATTTTATTGTCAATATCAAGTAAATTAATTAAATGAAGAGTTGATAAATTAAAAATTGATTTTTATTTTTTTTAAATAAATTTACAAAAAAAATATATATTTAATACACTCTTAATCTATACTTAAAAACACAAGTTAAATAAATCCTTAAATAACTAATTAAATAACTATCAATTTTTATTTCTTTAATAATAAAAATTGTCAAAAAAACCATCACTTTATTGACCCAGCTTAAGGTTGCGTTCGGGATTGTTGTAAAGTTGCTTAACCCACTTCTCTTGAAAGCATTTTTAACACGTGTAGTTGATTCTCGTCCAAAATGGTGTCTGAGGGTCCTAACTTATTTATTAGATTTTATTTTCATATATTTTATAATTAAATTGGGTATTTTTGACATAATTTTAGAAAGATCATTTGATATTTACTGGTTAACGGTTTTTGTGGACTTGGATTGGTATTGGGGTAAGTATTGGGGTAGGTTTTAGGGGACTATGTTCACTCGTTA